TGGGGTTTAGGGTTTTTTAGGGGGGTTTAGGGTTTGGGTGTAGGGTTTAGGGTGTGGGGTGTAGGGTTTAGGGTGTAGGGTTTAGGGTTTAGAGGGCTTATATAGTAGGGAACATACTGATCTGGATTATATATATATATGTACATAAATAGATATAGTTATGTATATATACAGGTGTGCATATAGGATTTAGGGTTTAGGGTTGGTAGGGAGTAAGGGAATGTATTTTATAGGGATTGTATAGGGGCTGTATTCCATTATTCCCTATTAAGAACCCGTAAGTTGCCATAGGACTTAGGGTTTAGGGCTGGTGTAGGGTTGTAGAGTGCAGGGCTTGAATAGTCAGACACGTGGAGAATTCAACGAAAAGCGCATGGAACATGAAATAAATGGAAGCTGCGTTGTTGAAGCCTAGATTCATGAAGAAGTGCAAGCGGGGGAAGGGCACCAAGTTCACAGCAATCTTGCGCAGGTCGCAATTCAGCTGGCCTGGGAAACGCAGGCAGCAAGTCACGCCGCTCATCGCCGCGGAGACAAGGTGGTTCAAGTCCCCGTACGTCGGTGTTGTGAGCTTCAACGTACGGAAGCAGATATCCTTACAGACCACGTAAGGGATCCCAACATGGACCCCACCCAAATACGACCAGTAGAACACTGGAGATGGTTAGGCATACTCGGGACAAAGGCTCTCTTGAAAAAAGCATGGCTACTACTTGGGCGCAAAGACTTATATTCCCAATCTATTCCCTACATTCTAACCCCAATATAACCCTAACATATTCCCAATACGACCCCAATATAACCCCTATATAACTCCTATTCTGAACCTCCAAGCATCATAGAGCGCCTCATTATCCAGCAGGAATGATTCGTCGGAGTTCTCGACCAGCTGGTGGAAGCTGAGAACTGCATTGTATGGCTCGACCACCGTGTCAGAGACCTGCAGCGTGGACACTGTTTGCTTTCATAACATTTGCACTGGATGATTTCAGTATGCTATGACCTCCCGTACCTGTACACCCTGGTGTATGTGTCCGGCAATTCTTGTGAAAAGTCTTCAGTGTGCTATGACTGGTGGGTCTTGCGATCTCGAATTGGTGAGGATACGGAGGAATGGCAAAGCTGGTGCCGGCAAGAAAGGGGCGGGGTTTCAAAGCCAAAGCTCGTGCCTTCGGAGAAGGGATCACAGAGAACGTTTCCATGATGCGATCAGGATACCTTGATTGTGCAAACTCTCGTGTTTGAGCGAGGCTGCATCTTTTGTTGTTGCTTGATGCATTACTTCCCTGACGCCAGTGAGGTAACAGTATAATCCCTTCCCGCTAATATTAACCCCCCCCCATCAAATGCGCATTCCCCTGAAATCCAAATTCTGAAATCTGCCCCCAAGATTACTTTTAAAAGGGCCAAAACAAAGGTTATTTACGGCTCGGATCCTCTGAATTAAGGGGGGTCCCTAGCACGACTCTTACAGGCTAGGGATCTCCTTAAGTTCTAGATCTTGACTGTTTTGAATGGTTTGTATGAACATGAAAATAACATAATATCTAAGTTCTGAATGCGATTTTAATTGGGCGTTGCCGTCTATCTTTTAACTAGATTCAGAGTTGAATTGAGATTTCACATGGTTTTAACCTGGAATTGTTGAAAAAGACTCTAACTAGATTTCAATTAGATTCTAAATGGACTTTACTAGGTTTCATTACGCATTTAGATTGGTATTGTTATGTTTAGATTAGATGTCAATTGCTTTCAATTGGATTCTACTTGTTTTTTTTTGAAATTTCAGCACGAGATTAACTATTGCTCTGCTCGTTCATCAAAACTCAACTGGATCCTAGTCTGTACCCCTCCTTAATGTTCGGGTCGTACAATAAAACCTCCTTAACAGTAAAGACGGTTCGGAGTATAAATGTTAGGGGGGGCAGCCCTCTAATACTAGGGGAAAGGATTCTGTATAGTGATTGCAAGAGAGAAGTAGTAATAACTAATAAAATCACAACAGCAGAATCAATCACTCACAACAATAACCTTACAAGTAAAACCCCCAAAAACCTCGACCCTGAATGCTGAAAGCACTTCTCCGAGGCACTCCTCGCGTACCTTCGAGATGAGTAGAGTGCCCATACCAGCCCCAGTGCCTCCACCAAGGGAGTGGCACAGCTGGAAGCCTTGAAGGCAATCGCAGCCTTCAGCCTGGCAAAGTGCTTCCTCATGTTTTCCTATAGTGGGATAATGGAAAGGAAACATGGAAGCTACTATGAGGTTATATTGGGGTTATATTGGGATAATTGAAAAGAACATGGAAACTACCATAATGGGGTTAGATAGGGATTAGGGTTTATGGTTTACTTCTTCTTCTTCTTCTGGCCATAGTGCTGCTGCTGCTGCTGCTGCTGCTGCGGCTGCTGCGGCTGCTGCGGCGGCGGTGGTGGTGGTGGCGGCGGCGGCGGTGGTGGCGGCGGTGGCGGTGGCGGTGGGTGGCGGTAGCGGTGGGTGGCGGTGGCGGTGGCGGTGGCGGTGGCGGTTGCGGTGGCGGTGGGTGGCGGTGGCGGTGGGGGTGGGGGTGGGGGTGGGGGTTGGGGTTGGGGTGGCGGTGGCGGTGGCAGTGGCGGTGGCGGTGGCATTGGCTGTGGGGGCCGTAGCGGCGGCGCTGTTCGCCGTCGTTATAGTAGGAGGAGTAGTAGTAGCAGCAGTCGTAGTAGTGGTACATCCATGATGAAAATCGGGGTCATAGTTACTGTTAAAGCAGTAGACGCGGTTGTTCAATGAGCGGAAAGGGTTAAAATTCGTGCGACTGCATGCGTGGCACCTCTCCCACGACTGCTTGTTATGATTGCAGAACTACCGTCATTTTCCTCTCTGTGACAAATCTATTTAGGTGTGTTTGTTAGTTGTATGTTTTTCGTTGTTGGGCATTCTGTAAACCAAAATGTGAGGACGCTCCACGCGAGAGCTCAAAATTGAGCCGCAATTTGAGGACGCCCTACACCGGTGCCCAGCTCAATTTAATGTCGCAGTTTGAAAGAACTCCACGCGAGAGAGCTCAATCTATTAAGATGATATTGGGAGAGCTCAATTAATGATAGCAATAATTGGAATGGAAAGGTTAATATAGTGATCAAAGTATTCAGAGCAGTACTGATAAAAAGAGAAAGCGCAGTATTGACCATGGTGATGACAAGAACGATAATAAACTACAAACGAAGAAACTTGAATAATGGTATTAGCAGTGAAAACCCGCATAATGCTCTCTTACCCTCCCTTACGGCAAACATGGCGACGACATGATATGTTTGCCGTAAGCCTGGGTGGTCTTAAAAAAGTTGCGCGGTTGGGGGGCGCACTTCCCTTCTTTTGCAAACAAGATGATGCGCAAAGCCCTGCCCTACTGCAAACATGGTGGTGACGTGATTTCTTTTTACCGTAAAGAATGATGGCTTTGAACAAAGCGGAGGGGGTGGGGAGGGGTAGGGGGAGAAGCCAAGAAGCCAGGAAGAAACCCAAGAAGTGAGCAACTAGAAGCCGCAAAGCCGGGAAGCCAAGAAGCCAAAACCAAAGAAAATACAAACCACAACAAAAGCTAATATTCTCCTTTTCCCTATCCGTGCACCCTGGCCAAACTGCAGCGGGAATCTGGAGACCTGGTCCAGCAAAATATTGTTGTTTCTGAAAACAAGATATCCTTCTTGGGCAAAGCTTCTGAGCACATACTCTGAAGGGCGCCGTTTTCAAATCGACGTATGGAGCCTGCTTCTCTTTGCTGTGGCAGACCCCGAAACCAAATCGAAGACGAGCCCGCAACCAAACCCGTGGCCTCCTTGCGCACAACATCTAAGACCGAGTCGATGAGTTCGGCACCCTCTGTGTAGTGGCCCTGCGCGGGCACAGCTTTTGTGAGCGTCAGCCAAGGTGAGGTGTATACGGTCAGCCCTACGCGCACTCGTGTCAGAAAGAGGAAGGTCATGTCAGAATTCTGGTGATAGGGATAATGTGTGTACTGTGTGCTTCTCTTTGCCGAGTCCGCGAAAACTCGTTATGAATAAGGTTGCTTGCAGGCTCAGTCAATCCATCGAATACATGCTTTCAGCTGGCAACACATGCAGATGTCCTTTGCCCAGTTGTTCCTCAGTTTTTGCAACATTGCAGAATCACGCAACCAGAAAGAGCTTAGGTTTTTACTGCCCTCACTGAAGACCATCATTCATCGCGAACAAGACAATGAGTAGCATAGCTCTTCCACCTGTAATTCTGCTTGCGACTAGAACTGCAAGCGGCTGAGACTGTTTCTACAAGCGCTGCTCTTAATCCTTTTTCCCAAGAAAAAGAAAAGGAATTATATCTGAGCTACGATCGGTATTTCCCGTCTAACTGGTAAGTAGTGGACGTGAAGCCTATCAAGGAAGTTATTATGGGGACATACTAAGCTACCAAAGGGCCCCGACTATCCGCTCTTCATGGTTGCTTGGTAAACCCAAACTCCAAAACCTAAACACCAAACAAAGGAAAATACATCCTAACATCGATCAGACCTGAGGTTGCCCTCTCTGCCTCCTACTCCTTCTACTCCTCCTCGTACTACCACCACTGCTACTCTACCACCACCAACACCACCAACACTGCCAACACCACCAACACCACCAACACCACCAACACCACCACCACCGCCGCCGCCGCCGCCGCTGCCGCCACCCCCATCCTCCTAAACCCTGAACCATTGAACCCCAAACCTTTCTACTTCTTTCTGCTTCAGTCCCAAGGCTCCCCGCGCCAGTCTGTCCGAAGACAAAATTATCCTCCGTGGTAGTTTGAAAGCAAGACATCAATCATGGATTGGATCCCTTATTATAGATCTGGAATGGAAACTCACCAAAATCATCCAAAAGTGCCACCTAGCATCGGGACGGAAGAGCTGACCGAAGGGTCCGGCCCGAACGCTATCCATGGTTCCTCGCAAGCATGTTTGCCGGATTCGCAGGTTGAGTAGGGAATGCGTGAAAGCTGGTGGGGATTGTATAGGGACTACTATAGCGATCCCATCCTCTATTCCTCGCTAGTATAGGGAACAGTGTCTAACAGTATATTGGATTCTGGGCATGTAGCTGCAAGAGTACTTGTGAACATAGCTCTCGTCGCACTAGTATCTCTCCTTTTATCTTTGCCTGCGTCCCTGGTGTAAGGCAGCTCAAATGTGCGCTAGCAGTCCAAAATCGGCAAGAAAAGCAGATTACTCGGATGCTACGGTGTAGTCCTTTGCTTAAAGTACCCCATTTCCTGCTCTACGCATTCCAACCACGGCACTCCGCACCTAATACAAGAGAAACTGTAGAGTGCAGGTATACTGAAAAATAGAAAAGTGGTTCAACAGGCAGCTGTGCTCGCAGGGTTAAGTATAAGCGAATCATGGGACTTTTTGGAGGCACGGACTGGGTATGCCGCCAGCACAACTGACACTTCAACCAGCAGCCAGATTCTACTGACAGAATATACAAAAGCGGGCAAGCAGAGGGTCACAAGCATTCAAGAAACAACACCATTTTTTCTGCATGAAAGTCTTGGTGGGGACCGTGGAGACTCGAACAAATTGCAATGCCAAAGAACTCCTCTTTGCCTACCACACTGTGCCACAACGTCCAGTTCTACTTCCTAAAACAGAGGGTCACGGTGTTCCTGCCTGGTTCAAGGTCCATCAGAATTGCACGTGGGACGTAGCGTCCGCCAGTCGCTTCATTGAAGTAAACATTGATTCGCTCCAATTGAAGGTCAGAGTCTCCGTGATAGGTTCCTGCAGTAGGCCGAAAGAACAATGCCAACAACAGCAAAGAGAATGGGGGCCATAGAAATTGGCATCAACATGGAACAGAACAAGCAGCATGGCGCGCCAGCGACGAGCACTAACTGATGTTGTCAGAACCCTCTGCCAAAACCAACAGTTTAAACAACTACAATAACAATTTCTGTGTTCAGTGCCTGTTGGGTCGATGCCATGCTCGTCCGCGATGACTTCCCAGAACTTTGCACCGATCTGATTACCACATTGACCGCCCTGGACGTGCACGAGCTCACGCATTGTGGTAGTGCACAAAGATGGTCGGAGGGCGGTAGCGAGAGTAGCTGAAGGCCTGATGCAGCCTACCACTGGTTCCTTGAGACAAGCGGCAGCATTGTGTAGACCTTTGCTGGTCGCGACCTGGCCAAACAGGCAGGCTACCCTTGATCAATGTAAATCATTTCTTGCGTCTAGGATAGATCCCCCCAGCTTGCACTCAGAATATTTTAAGGTAGGCCGGCCATGACTAAGGAGCTCCGAAGTCTTTGATGAGGAAATCAGCGTGTCATGGCGTGAATAAGTACTTGTCAATAAGACAATAAGACATGTTGGCAAAATCCTCAGGGAGAGTACTCTTTCACCCATGTCTGAAAACGTCTGCCCTCATGTGTCTCAAATATCTTGCGTCCCGCTCCTAGTGCATCAAAACAACTTTTGTTTAGATCAGAGACTGAACCCCATGTTCGTTTCTCAGGCACGTAGGGACTCATGGATGGACGGGAACTACGACGAAACCTGGACCTGTTTAAGTCTCTTTAGGGGCCAGTGCTTAAAATACCAAATTCTGAAAACCGTGAAACCTCGAAGCCTTCACTTTCACTGGACCCTCAGTCCTGGGCACTAGGGTCCAAATATCGCCCAGAGCAGGACATATTCAAGGACTTTGATCCCCAGAATAATGATATGCCCCACCCCCTAAAAGAGTAGGTGCAAGGAAAATCCTCTTTCAGCTTCTGGAATTGGTCGTCCGAGAGCAGCTGCACCCCGTCGCGGTAGTAGGCCCAGAGGGCATCTACATACATCTCCTAGACAAGGACACGGCTAGGATTTGGAGGGCGAGGGTGTAGGACTGAGAGGTTTAGGCTTAAGGGGAAGGTTCAGGGGTTCAGGTTAAGGGTTTGGGGGTTTAGGGCGGTAATACCAGGATGAAGGGCTCACATCTGTACAGGGCCTTGCTCTGAAAATCCGACGTGTCCATAGCCCCTCTGTGGATCCTCATGATAACAGTGAGCGTAACGCTGCTGAAGCAGGGTTATATTTACCTCATTCATAGTAATACTAAAAGGCTCGCATGTGTATAGGGCCTTGCCCAGAAAAGCCCACGTGTGTGGCTCCTCTTGGGGAGTTCATGACCATGGTAATAGTAGCACTGCTGATGCTAATAATCATGGTAATATTCGTGGTGAAATAGTAAATCATCGTTAACAGAGTACTGGGAACAGGGCCAGGGCACTCGCTGGCGTAAACTGACTGGTGCTTCCCTGCAATTATGGCTCCATGATGGGCACTCAAAGCCCTGTCATTGTACGTGGTCAAGGCTTAGGGTGTCCCATCAGCAACAGTAAGTAAAGCTCAGACTGCTGAAGCCCTTGCGGCCAATACGCCTCCATTTGCGCGACGGTGCATTGCTCCAAGTTCACGGCACCTTAGACTCTTGGGAGGAACGTCCTGAGCTTGCTAACCAGGGCTTACCACTGTGACAGCCCAAAATGGGCATGGGTTTTACCGGTCCGATAAGAAGCAGAACCATCGAGAGTGGTTTCATCATGGTGGGTTGCTATCATGGTTCTGCTACGAAACCAGAGAGATCACGATTCCAATGAACAACTGGGCTGCGTAATCTGTAGCTCTACCAAGGTCTTCCTCTGCTGAGTATCTGCATCCCAACTTCTTGCCAAGTGTGATCTATAATAGGAGCTAAGGACGCGGGCTCCTCTAAGACTACATGAGGAACTATACACAAGCATTGTAAGAAACCCCACATCCTGCCATCCCCTTGGTGACAAAAGCTCTTCTACTCATTTAGTGACTAAGTACAGGGAGGGTCCCCCAAGTTATAGAGCTGGTTATATGTAACTGGTAGTGGGGATGTTACTTTAGATCCCCTCTATCATTGCTATGAGATTTAGAATTAAAGTTATGCAAATAGGGGGCCAGGGGCATCATCCTTTGACTAGGGCGTGGGCATGTCATCCAAGGTCCTGTGACTGTGACTGGGCTAAAGAACAGCTAGCACAGACGTATATAGACATATGCATGAACATCTCTGCACTATGGCCACTACAATGCTTGCTGCAGCAAACGCTATGCGAGCTACAGCCAATATTTCCCCGGAAAATTCATGGACACGGGTTCCTTATTAGGGACTATTCGTTACAAGAGGGACCCCTATGTCCACCCTTAATGGTCCCTTGGTGAAAACATGTGAACTATACTCAAAAAGATAATCCCTGTAGTAGTCCGCTACATTAATTCCAATTCAAGGAGCTTAGACAACACCCCATGCGGATACAATTGCTACCACCCCTTATCCCGTGCTCAATGGAACCCAAGCCCTAAACCCTACAATTGCTACCATTCCTTGGCAAATGGAAGGCAAACCCTAAACCCTGCAATTGCTACCAGTCCCTGTTCAATGCTGACTTAGTTGCTAATGCCAAGCTTGGCATACTCATCCTGCGCTGAAATGAGGGTAGGTCCGGGGTTAGGGGTCCAGGTTGCAGGGGTTAGGCTTTAGGGTTACGTATATATGTACATATATGCATATATGTGTGTAACCCCAATACTGGAGAACTAAGTGGAAAATGACATGAAAACTTAGATTATTGAAAGCACATGGGTGGGGGTCTCTCGGGATGGCCTCGACTTGATTTCATGTATTTGTTTGGGGTTTAGGTTCTGTTTGATTGAAATAGGTTTTTGGGTACGTCATATTCTGATTAATTAATACTAGTTAGACATATACATATATGTGGACTGTGAAGGATTGAGGTTGGCAAGGCTCATGTAGTCTGCTTGGTGACTCGAGTATATATGGGAAATGCAAGGGATTGTTCGGGTCCCTCTTGGGATATTATACATATCTATATATATGTATATATAAATCAGTTCCTCCTCTCCAAGACTCTAGTCCTAGGAGCATCACGGCTTGGGGCTTCAATACGTCACGCTCGAACGATGCCATAAAGGCGCTGCAAGGATGTGTGCGTCGTCTGTCCGTGGGAGTTCCAGGCTGAGATCGCTTGCTTTCACCGGAAGAATTCTGGAAGCCAACGCACGGATCTTGGCCTAAATCACGGTTCCCCAAATTGCGGAAATAGGGACTGCAAGAGGAACCGCACTACGGGTACCCGTATTCAAGAAGTCCCCACATGCACAAGTAATTTCTCATCCCTGACTCACCAGACCACGGTCTCACCAGACGCTGGCATTGTAACAGGCGATAGGGGCTCCTCTAAAACTCCTCCACAAAAGAACAGGGGGATTACTTAGGGCCACCAAGAGGCTTTCCTGTAGATTTGCAACACCTAACAGTGCGTGCATTCCCTTCCCTGTGCCACAGGGACACTTTGCTTCTAATCCGTCATATGCGGGTTTCCAGACCCGCTTGAGGGTTCCCAAAACCAAAACAGCAAACACAAAACATGTGGAATATCCCTGGATAAATTTTCCGTCCGAAAATATCTGCCAGCTACAGCAATGACGGAGAAAAATACATGGACGTTGAAAAGGCCCATGAAACTGAACCCCTGACCTCTGAAACCTCAACCCTAAACTTTGGCCATAGTGTTCCCATGCATAAGTAGAACAAGATCCGCGTCTACCACATACTCAAGCTACCTAAGGGGGACTATAAGCCGCGTGAAGCTGGCCGCAAGACTCACTTGATCTTTTTGCTTACCCCGCCTTCATGCTCTCAAACTGCTCCGAATCCAGGAACTGCTCGCCACGCTCGTACAGCAGGAATGCCTAGATATAACGGCAAGAGTTTGGGTCTTTGCGAACCCTTCAGCGCAAATTTTCTGAGGTTGGCACCCTGAAGCATAAACCGTTGGCACCCTAAACCATAAACCCTAAACTCTGAGGATTGTTGGAAGGCTCCTCCAAACCTACTATGTTGAACCGTCCACATATCATTCAATATCCGAGTAGAAGACCCTATTTGCCGTGCTAGGTTATACTTGGGTTACACTTACCCTAGATGTGCGAGTAGGGTTTGAAGATGAGATGTGGGTAGGCTCCTTCTGCTCCTATAACTAAGGATGGGCTAAGGAGAAGTCAAGGGAAACCACTGCCTAGATGGTAGTTTCCCTAAGTAGGGGGACCCCAATATAGACCCCAAAATACGATAATCCTTATTATGGCGACCCCAAAAAGGTATACGGTACCCTCTTTTTGGGAAACTTCCAGATATCATGCTTTAGTACCGCCTTCTTGTGAGGGTTGGGGAGGCTGATTACAGCAGCAGCAGGCAACTACGGCTATGCAAAGCCCAAGAAAGGATGTTCTCGCTCAAGACTTACAAAACCCTAAACCCTAAACACTAAGCCCGAAACCCTGGTTGGCGGCTTAGAGTCCGAAAGGGTTTAGTCCGCAGAGTTTTAGGGTTTGGGGTTTAGGGCTTAAGGCTCCATGTGGCACAATTTACCGACTTCAGGGCACAATGGAGGTATTATCTTATTATCTATAATTAGATTTTCAGCCCTGGCTAATTCCCCTAAGCCCTGAAGCCTCATCGTTCAGCATGGGCATAGCTCAACATGAGGGCGCAGGGCATTCGGCGAGGTCAAATAATTGATGCACTCTGTACTGGGTTTCCCAAACGCTCCATGTACGCCCTCCCCCTGATATTGAAACCTCCCACCCGCCTAACATTAAAGATTCCCGTTTCATTATTACATATTACCATGGGAAAATTTAGTGCGCAGGGGGAGCGGGGAGAAATATCAGAGAAAGGATGTTTTATAGTTGAAATATCAGAGAAAGATGGCTTTACAGCTGCATGGACTCTTTGGATTTGCGCCGTCCTGACTTGCTGCCAACTACACCTGTGCAACAGGGCATTCCTACAAAGACACCTGCGAGTTTCCACAACTGACGACACAGAGACACTACCTAGGGTGGCTAGCTAGGATCTGAGACAAGCAAGTGAACCGCAGTACAGTTTCATTGTGCATCCAGGCATCTTGTGTGAAGTTCCTTACCGAATTATCTCGACATATCGATTGCCATTCACCGCA